ACCTTTAAGCGATCGATTTCGAGGTCCTTTGCACGATCGGAGGCGCGAGCGCGCCGAGTCGGAGTGGAAGGTGCAGGACACTGAGCAAAAACACCATTGACAGGATGCTCCGTTAAAGCGGAACCGAAATCGGCAGTTCTCTGCGAAAGTTCTCGAGGAGGCGAGTACCTTAACGAATCGGTGGGAGGAGGCGCCGGAAAAAGCAGCTGGTGACGTTGTTGCGGTGGCGGAGAGTTGGAGGAACACGGAGGGTGGTGGTGGTTTTGAGTTTGAATTTGGTTTGCGTTCTGAGTACAGGAAGATAAAACAAGCTGTTCGAATTCGATGACTTCCTTCAAGAAATTCTCGTCGCCCCAGAAGTTCTCTTCGTTCATGTCTAATTTGCTGCCAAACAATCCAAGAACTGACAGACGGAAGAAGAAAGTGGTGGGATTGGGGGTTTTGTTCACAATTTTTTTAAAGTTAAAACTTCAATTTGGTCCCTCAACTTTATTCAAAAATTCTATTTTAATCCTTTTATTTTTAAAAAAATCACTTTTTAATCTTTAAATTTTGAAATTCGATTTTTTTTTAGTTCTTCCATTAAATTTTAACTTAAATAAAAAAAAAAACTTCAAAGAAAAAGAACAAAAAAGAAGCTTTTTTTTTAGTAGATGAACTAAATTAAGACTATTTTCAACACTTTTTTAATTTTTTTCTGTTTTTCTACTTTGAAATTTATGTTATTGAACATATCAAATATACAAAACTTAATGGAGTGATTAAAAAAAGATCGGTTTCAAATTTTAGGGATTAAAAATAAATTTTTTAAATAAAAAAATTATAAAAAAAAACTTTTTAATAAAATAGAGAAACCAAAATCAAGATTTAACTCTCTTTTTTTCTCACAATCAAGAAACGTTGGTTGGGACTTGGAATTTGCCGTTTTGGGCTTTTAGGCTGGCTATGAAATTGGCTGTATTGGGCTAATTAAGCCTGTATGAAATCTTCTGTTTTGGCCTTTTGAGCCTTCAAGAAAATAAATTATAAAATTTGATGTTTTGGGCCTTTGGGCTGGGTATGGCCTTCCTGTGGTTTTCAATTTCACCATCAGTGCTTTTTCTATTGGACAAGTACAAGAACAATTTTGGAAAGAAAAAATTGTACTCTGCATTTAAAGTTACGAGGTGTACTTTTTGTAAAAGTTTAAATATAATTGACCGGCCTAGAACTAGAACCCATCGTCAGTGTTTAACGTTAATATAAAACTGAAAATTTCAATCTTTCTTCCACTTTTAAATATAAATTTTTTTTATAAAATTATTTAAATATTTTAAATAATTTTTATTAATTTATTTAAAATATTTTAATTTGTTTATTATTAATCTTAACATTTTAATTGTTATAACATTTTTACTTTATTTATTTTTTTAAATTCTAACTTGTTCTTTTTTTTAATTGTATGATAATAAGTAATTTTTTTATTACTTTTTAACTCATTATACTTATA